GAGCATGGTCCTTCCCCGATTGCGTCGACCCATTAGTGCTACAACTAATTTGTATTTACGTATGAAATTGCCATTTTGCAGTACTGGCCATTGCAAATCAAAATAATTTTTGTTTGGCTAAGAATTTTAATTTAAAAATAATTTTTATTTATAAACATGGAATTCTTTTTTCAAAATTATTCATTTTTTTATTGATTAACCTTATGTTTTCATCGTATTTGATCTTCTTTCTTTGATCTCGTCATCATGGATACGTTAAACATTCGAATAATTATGGAATACGAGTACCGTCGTGGCAGCAACGCGGCACAAGCGGCACCTACCATCAACAACGTTTACGGAGTGAATATTACAAAAAATGTGCCACCTGTTGTTGCTCGCTACCGTTCTGGAAATATCGACCTGAAAAATGAACCCCGTGGTCGTACGAAAACTGTGGAAGCTAATGATACTCAATCTACGGCAGAATCAGTAGCAGCTTTCGACGTTAGCATCAAAACAGTATTGGTCCCTTTGCGTCAAATTAGCATGGTAAAAAATCATGACAAATGGGTGCCACACGAACTCAATGATCGCCAGCGCGAAGTACGCGTCAAGACGTGCCTTGCACTGTTTAACAGGCACACAAACGAAGGAGTTTTGAACCGCATTGTTACCTGTAACGAAAAATGGATACTGTTTGAAAATCGCAAGCACTCAGCAAGTTGGTTGGATCGAGGCTTAGCACCTAAACAATGCCCCAAACAAAAACTTAACCCTAGAAAAGTGACCCTTAGAAAGTTTGTTGGTCTGGCACCCGTGTGATTCTTATGGGTAAGAAGCTGTGATTCTCACCCAACGGGATGATTATTACTGCAGATGTGTACTGTGAAAAACTGAACACAATGATGAAGAAGCTCGCACGTCTCCAACCGCTTTGATCAGACGCTCGTCCCCGCTACTCCTGCACCACAACGCGCGACCTCATACAACAGATGGTCTCCAAAATACAAGAGCTGGGGTTGGAATCTTTCCGTTATCCGCCGTACTCACCATACCGTGTGTCTACAGACTTCTTCTTTTTCCATAATCTGGATAACAAGGCAGTACAAAATGCCTTTGAAGAATTTGTCGCCTACCGTCCAGCCGATTTCTTCATCTACATCAATAAAATGCCACAGCGTTGTCAAATATGCATCGATTGCATGGGTGATCCATGTGACTTATGTGACTTATCTTTTTTGATTAACAGAAATAAAAATATAGAAAATAAATTACGTTCACTTATTTAAAGAAATGGCAATTTCATGGGTAAAGACCTAATATAATATTACCTGCAGCATGGCTCTACCACGTATGGCATAGCGTTGGATGTCACTTGCGTTTAAATAGTTACTCACACTCGCATGTGGCTTCAAAAGCTGTCCGTAGAATATATTAATCTCACCCAAATTCTGAAGTGGTCCGTACATAACGTTAACGCCACGCTGAGTATTCAATGTCGACAGATGGCTTCTTTCGGAAAAATCTCCGAGAAAGTATTGGAGCCTTGTTTCCGCTCTATCGAGAAATTTCTCTCTCTTATCTTCCGACCAATACGAGCTGTATTGAAATAGCGCAAGTCGTGCCGCATGATTTCGAAGATATGAGAGTTCAGTTTTTTTTTTATGTATAGAATATGGGTGACAAATGAACACACAGTCCACCTGTAAAGTTACAGCCTATATACGTCCCACTGCTGGGCACAGGCCTCCCCTCAACTCTGAGAGAGTTTTTAGGGCAAAGAAGTGTCCGCCGCGCTGCCCCAATGCGTGTTGGCGAACTTCACATGTCTTCGAAATATTTTTTTTCTTATTCCTCAGACATACAAGTTTCCTCACGATGTTTTCCTTCACCGCCGAGCACGTGGTAAACCAGCACTTAAAATTGCAATTAACAATTTCATTGATGCCGGCGGGGATCGAAACCGGGTTACTCGCGTTCTCTTATATTTACAGCGAACGTTAACCATCTGAGCTACCACGGCTTGCTGAGCTGTCCACCTGATGGTAAGTGAATGCCGTGGCCCATAGACATTTAGATGTATCCTCGATTAAGAATGAAAATGCAGATGTGCTGTCACCCCTGAGGACAAAGACGGAGTGCCTCATTCCCAGTAAAAAGGGTCTCCGGTATTCTATGAGAGCGTGGTTCCAACCCGGTCGAGCCGACCCAATGCGCTACAACCCTAATATAGCGGTAGCATGGCTCTACCACGTAAAACCTGTTGTTGGCTGTGTGCTGTCGTATAATACCTGGTGTATACTTTTTATTAAGAGTGTAATCAGAGAGATTCGGGTTCTTCTACGACCGGTCTTTTAAAACTTAAATCTGACCGCATGGACAGTTTCCACGAGCTTCTTAGTTTATATCGTCGATTTAGGCACTGAAAACGATTTTGCAGTTCTGGTCATCATAACGAAGTTAATCTCATTTTTGTCGTCGAGTCGTTGGAGCTAGACCAAGTCTATTTTCAGTCACATATAGAGAGATTCTCTATATGTGATTGTAAATGGATATGGCCTTCTCTATGAATTCTCCTAGCTGCAGACGCCTTAGTTTTCTTTGCCTAATTACCAATTTTCCTAACTTTCAGTTCACCGTCATTTCCTGTCCTTCATTTTGTGTCTAAGACTTCAGTCTTTAATACGGTCTGCTAATTAACCGCACAATAAAATTGTCTACACCGGTCGACACAAATATCTATAATTTGTAGTTTTCAGTTCTTTTCATCTATTGACGTTTAATGATCTTCTCTGATGACAAAAATCAAGTCTTTAAGTAACCTGGACTTTACATACCCTTAATTATCTTATTAATATATTCATGAAATTTTAGATTGTAGGTATTAAGGGTGTCCTTATTAGGTATGCAAAATAACAATTGCGTAAGTGTAGAAGTTCTTGAGTTATGAGGGATTCGAAAGTGTCTACTTCTTTTTTTTTCTTGTAAATACCGCCGATACGTCACCATTTTTTCAGAACTTAGCTATCCTTGATGAGCTATAAGAATATTTTTGTAAATTAACCATAGACTTTACATTTAATATTTAATATTAAGCTTAATAATTAATATTAAGTGAAACGGCTATGGTTATTTATTACTCGTAGCTCTATAGTTTATAGAGCTTTGCTTTGACGCAGAATGTTAAGAATTAAGATCACTAAAGACAAGACCTTTCCTTAAACCAATTGAATTTAACGACATCTAGAGAAATATAACGAAATGATAAATGATATGATTATAGCTCCATCTAACGACAAGCAATAAAACTACATAATAATGATTTCAATAAAAACTAATAATGCACGCGTTACATATCAAAAGATGGCATTGAGCGTTATGGTTATGTTTATTTATTTGTATTATTTATCGACTTTCGATAATAAATACCTATGCAAAATTAAATGCCTATAAACGCATTAGATATAATATTAACCTAAATAAAAGGTACTATGTGTTAAGTGTCTACTGCAAGTAACTATCTTCAAGTAAAGAAGGCTATAGATGCGTCGTCATTTCTGAGGACTAAGCTTCCATCTTATTCCTCAGACTTTCGGGTGTGTATAAAAAATCTGTACCTTACAGCATGTAATTATCACTGGTGTGTTCCGGTCTGATAATAAAAAGGACCTATCCAGATAGATATCCTCCGAGGTAAATAGGAACCCTATTATACACTAAATTCGATGTGAAAAAATTATATATTTACGTATTAAACAGCCCATTACATGGTGCCTGTGCGTGTGAACGTAGGCGTTCAACGAAGATTTATTTTTAATTTTAAAATCTTTATTGCATCCCCTAGCAAAAAAGGATACAAATTGCGGACTTAATACCTAAAAGCATTCTCTGCCAGTCAACCCATGGAGTAGGAAGAATTTGACATAGGTGTAGCAATTGAAAAAGAAGAAACTAAAATAAATACACATTCTAAGTAACGAAATACATATATTTTGATATTATGTTGTAAGTTAATACATATAAGTATATTCGTATATTTATATTTTTAATACTAAACAATATCCACTAATATTTAATAATTAAAAACAATACAAAATCATATTATGTCAAAAAAGTCATTACCATGAATACGATCCCAAATAGCATTTCTAACTTTATAAGAATCTATGTAAGATGATTGCTAAAAGCAATAAATTAAAAAAGCAGAAAATTATTTATACGCATTACTCAGTGTGTATTAATTAAAAGTAACGTATTTAGACACAATTCTCTGAATGAAAAGTAATTTATGTTAAGACGTCTATCAATCAAGTTTGTTCGGGAGGATTGCTTAAATTTGAATGGAGTACTTCATATTTTTGTCAACAAATCTGAATGTCACCGAATTGATATCAACAAGGTTCCATAAAAGAGAAAGTTGTTCGCCTACGGAGCGTTTGAACCTACGCCTTCTCCTCATATCGCATTGTAAAGCTTCATTACATCTTACTACTCATTTGTGCGTAGTATCGATCACGTGTCCCCTTTAAGCGTAATGTAAATAACATTATAATCACTTCAAAGGCTTGAGTTTTAATCTTTTAGTACTAGTATATGTGAGTATTACTTTGCAAGCTTCATTCGATATTTTAAATCGTTTCCATCAATTGTTTCGAATTTAATGAGATGGTTGTGGTCGTGTCAATATTGACATAATTTTCGTATTTAAATTAAGAACTCGTTTAATAAGAGGTATTGTAAAATAAACCATGTTATTTTAACAACTGGGTTGTTCACGGATATGCCGAGAGATCTAGTTGTATTATAAAGTTGGTCATGCTCACTGTTGCTTATCGTATCACATTTCAGCTTACTACACCAGACCTTGTCACCTGATATGGAAAAACGATCTCGTAGAAATGGATACGCATATAGTACCAGTAATATAATGTAACACGTTACAATTCAACAATTCGTACTTGCAGTCAGTTGCCGTACCCAAAGAGATCCGCACGTGAAAGTGATTAAGTCACTAAGCCATGCGTCGCAAGGAGCCCCATCTCACTTCAACTGCTAATCGCGGTAAAAGTTTAATTTCTACTAGAATTCAACAACACCAGCAACGTAAAACACAAAGCATGAAGAGTCAGCTACCTAGAAGCTATTCGTCTCCAGCGCCACAGGTAGATGTGGAAAACAAAGGATGCGTTATGCGAAGATTCTCATCTCCTGATCCTAAACAGGTTTGCTACAGGCGGAATTCTGATTCATTCTGCAAATCTAAAACCGACTGTTCAAAAAGTGAATTAGACTCCGATTTAGAAAACTATGAGCTATTTGAAGAGAGTTTCATTGATATAGATGCAGAACCAGAAGATATAACGTTTGGTGCTTACACTAAAAATACTGAAATTGACGGACCCAAAAAGGTAGTCACAACACTCTTACCTGGCAGCGGAATTCAAAGGATTGCTATTAAACCAATATCGCTACGTACTATTCAAAAAGTACAATGTAGCAGACAGGCAAAACGGAAACATCAAAGAGATAGTGACGATAACAAAGGTAAGATATGCTTATGATCAAACCAATATTCTAACAAATACTAACGTACATCCAAGGCTAACTTACAATGTACCTACTCGTTATGTAAATTTATTTGTGTAACCTTTACAAGTGAGGGTTTCGAACAGACATTTTAAATTCGACCTTTTTGAATAGAATTTAGAATTAATTTTAACAGTACCTATGTAAAATATTTTACTGAACAGTAACTGCACGGTAATGTTATATAAAATTACCGTGGTAACTGTCTTCTTAATTGATATGGTTTTGTTTTTATTACACTACTGTAATTGCTTGATTAATGTTACTCTAAATTGTTAATTATGAATTGTATATTTTTAGATAACAATCATATAAACTTCCAACCATTGATACTGAATATGCCTGAAAAGCATTCTTTACATTCTAAATCAGAGCAATCTTTTCTTGGAATGGAAGAACTGCAAACTTCACCTACATTAGAGACGGAAGCAATAGAATTGGAAAGAGAACTAAACAATGCTGAACAGCATTCAGATGGTGAAGTAGCAATGGCTACGGATGAAAGTGATGGTCAAACGGTAAGTAAAAATAATGAATTTTGTTGTACTGACAGTAGTCTGCGGTTTCTCCGTTGCGAAACGTATCAAAGTTTTTAATTATTACACCAAATGTAAACACTGCAAGGAGGTAGACACAGATTTATAAAATGTTTATTTAGCGATTTCTTTTTATTATCACGAATTGAAAAACCTCGCAATTGGATTTATCCAACGTGTTCAAAGAGAATCGAAAAATATTTATCAAAGAGATAAATATTTTTCGATTTGTCACATTTTGGAAATAATGCTTATAGCATAGTTCTTACCTCAACTATTCTTTCATTAGATTCATATTCATACATATTACTCATTGTTACAATTTTATTAACTATGCATTTTGAAATTAACTGCAAAATCTTTTCAAATTGTCTGGTGTGTCAAGTTTTATCGAGCTGCATTGTTTTTTTTAACATTATACCTGAATTCGATCTAATAAACGTTACAATAAGTACGACAAATTTGTTAAAAAGTGACATAATTGACGAATTATGCAGAAAATACCGTTTAATAAAGCTACAGAATTGTTTAAATGACTCCTTTGAGTAGCTCTGTTAAATATTTGTAATTTAAACTTCTCAAATTATAAAAGAACGCCTGCCATTATAACAGTAATTAACAATCATCTACCCTATGTTCAACTTATTAATGTGTATCTAGTATTCGCGTAAAAATTTTTTTGTTAAATTGTAACTACAATTCTACCATTTTGAAAATTTTCCACCATGACAATATAGTCATTTTTATACAACATAAATGTAAAATGTATACAGAAATTACAAATAGTGTACATTGTAACATCCATTAAGAACCAAGAAAAAGAAGGGCCTGGTGTAACTTTTTAATTCAACAGGCTTTTATGGTTTTCAAAAAAAAACTTTTCAAATTTCCTAGCTACTTATTTTATTTTCACCAGATACGTGCAGTCCACTAATTTGCACTGAAACGACGCAGTGGACACTTTTCGATTCCCATAACTAACGCAAAAATCAAAAAAAGACTGTGTCCACCAATAGGACGTATGTAGGCTGTTATTTTACTTTACTATGAAATAAAAGGAATAATTACATTATTATTTTTGATAAATACTTATATATATATATATATATATATATATATATATATATATATATATATAAAAATAGGTATACTTATTTTGTAAGTATACCTATAACATAATAGTAACGATCTATATCAATAACGCATTCGTTACAATTCACGGTTTACAACGCCATCAAGAAGCCAGCCCACACAAACCTAAATTGAAACAATTAGGAAGCCCCAAAGTTGCGGAGGGTCAAATCCGCACCGACATTTTCCAGACGCTGTGTTCCTTTATCTTGTTATTCTAATGTAATACAACTGCTCTGAGGTATTGCAAAGTGCACTAGTTTTAATTTAATATTATTTATTAATAACCTCAAATGGCTTAGCAAGACCCTCCGTTATGCCGAAAATATTTCAGCATTAATTTTGAAATAAATATATGGTAAACTTGAGGATTACCAATATACCATATTAACAGCTGTTGTAAGTGCGTCACTATGTGGATGGTGATGCACGAAACAGAAAGCCGCCTCGGCTACAATTTTTCAACTAATTAATATATAATATTGTGTATTGGGGTAAGATCGGTGATGGGGTAAGACCGTAAAATTCAAATTTCCGGTGAATTATGCTATATTTTTGAAAGCTAGCAATATGGTACAAGACTCCATTTTATTCTGCCCCGACCCCAAGTTTCAGCCAGTCGCTCAGAAAAGTAGAGCGTGTGCTGCGCAGTATTTTATAAAACAAGGTAATTTTTGAATTTTTTCGTCTGTCCGGTCTTTCCCTATCACTTTTATTTGCGATTTTTAGCGACGTCCGGTCTTCCCCTTGATGGCCAATTCTTCATCATGCATATAAAAAAGTATGCCTTGTCTTCGCACACGTTTTAAGCAGAAACTGTTGAGTTTTGAAAAGTAAAAGCTTCTTATAGCTAAATTACGTGTAACCATTAAGGGGAAATATAATGTCAAAAGATCCTTCGTTATGCCGAAAATATTGCAGCATTAATTTTGAAATAAATATATGGTAAAGTTGAGGATTAATGTTAATGATTATGTTAGACGAAAACACTATTTCGTAAAATTTTCTCGATAGAAAAAAAATCCAAAGTTACCTCCTAAATAAACAGTAAACCGCTGTTATTCATATACTTTTAATAAGATCATGAACTTTGCATACTAACTGAACTAACTATAAAGCAGTGCTTATGTTATTTACTTTTTTTAAAATACCATTATTTTCACTGTAAAAAAGAAATTACCTAAACTATCGGCGTCTTGAGCTCTTGAGCTTGATTCCTGTCGCACCGTTAGTATCGCTTAGGCTTTTGAAGGGAGAAGTTGTGTCGCTTACGATCAGAATATACATTACGCAACAGGACGACGTAAAATTAAAATGGGAAATAACCGTGATAAAAATAAGAAGCGGCTGGCTTGGCGTTAAGAAACAGGCATAAATATGATAAACCTAATGAAATAAGTATCTAACGACCTATCTACTTACAGTGTTAGTGATTACAAACATGTCGGTACATAGCATACGACGCGCGGGGAAGTGGGGGCGAAATTAGAATTTGAGCTGACTTACTCTATCCTCTTAACGATTTGCGCCATGTTTCAGAAATCTGACGTATATGGATGTCGAGAAAATAAAGTTTTTGCCAGACTCTTTTGACTAGTCGAAAATTCGTCCGGTATTGCCCCAACGCACCTTATAATCATAATATTCAAGTTCAAGTAAATGATAATAAACGGAAAAAAAATAGGAAATATAGAAAAAATTATAATATTACATAGGATACATGAGTATCATTAAAACATCTGTCTCCCAGTATCTTGGAGAATATACGAAAACTTCCTTACATAAGTGCGTTGTTGACGTTGTACGTTTTTATTACGTATGTATATAATAAGTGATTATTAAATAGCATTTTTTTAAATGCATTATGCTCCCACGGATGCAGGAAGACGGCATTGATAATTATTTAGGTCACCACCCACCACTTCTATATCGGCCAGTCTTAACAAACCCTAAACTTCATATATCATAATTACATAGAGGTCAACAAAGCTGTCGAGATTGCATTATGATTTTATCTGTGACACCAATGTAAGAAGGAATGATTATTTACCGGCTGAGTATATAGAAAATTGGGCTTAAATCCCGGTAAATAATCACCAATTCCTTGCCGATTGTGACTTACTATAGTAGAAATTTTAAATTTTAGAATACCTTACGAAACAATTATTTGTGTGTTATATATAGTTTTGAAAGACATATTGGCGGACATTTTTGCAACTAACGTGCTAAATAAAGTGTTCACCTAACGCTTGGTTTATCCAAGTCCAATATCTTTTTTTTTAATTTTTTTTTAATTTATTTTATGTACACACATTAAGGTACAGAATTCATATAGTAAAAAAAAATTCTTATAGTAATTACGTACAAAGGTTCTACTTATTCCAAATTCGCTGAAATATCTTCCAGTAGACCCATAAAGGAAATTATATTTAAATTGCAAACTTAGTGCATACATTAGTACTACTAAAAATAAATAATATACACAATGTTACGGAAATTATATAAAATAAAAAAATAAATAAAAATAAAATAAATAAATAAATAAAAATAATAATAAATACTATATTTACATATGAATATATATATATATATATATATATATATATATATATATATATATATATAAATTAACAGGATGCAAAGTAGTTATCTCTAAGACGTTTCTTGAATATCAACAAAGTTTCGGAATTTCTTATATTTGACGGTAGTGAGTTCCATAATCTTACCGCGTGAACTGAAAAGGAGTGGGAGTAAAAACCGGAATTAAAGACGGGAAAGTCAAGAAGATTTTTAACAAGGGATCTGCATGGTTTTTCCGGAGGATGGGTGAAGGAAAATCGGCTTCTGAGGTATGTGGGAGAGGAAGGGTTGTGCAAAATGTTATAGAGGACACATAACAATCGAGTGTTCCTTCGAAGTCGAATTGGAAGCCACTTGAGTTGCTTACGAAACTGAGATATACGGTCAAATTTCTTGAGCCCAAATATGAAACGGATACACTGATTTTGCAAGCGCTCAAGTTTATTAAGAAGCTCCTCTGTAGCATCCAAATAACTTTTATTAAATTATTGCTGTTATTTTTCATCGTGTATTCAAATATATGCAATTTTTAAGTAATTTTGAAATATGCTGGATTTTATTCTGCTTTTAATGAGTTTATCAAGACTAATTTAGCATATTCAATGGAATCGAGTTCGTTTGTGAAAAAACACCTTCTATTATACATACATAAATAAAATTCTATGTGTCTGTCTGTAATCTCGAAACAACTGGTTCTAATTGAACTCGGAGTGTTATTTGTATGTCATGAACAAGCATTTTTAAAATTTTGAAAAAAAAAATTGCCTATCTGTCTGTCTGAACTGATCTTCGTAATTCGTAATGGCTGAAGCTGAACCGATCGTAATAGAACTTTAAAAACAGATAGAGTGTGATGCCTAATCTAGGCTATATTTCATCTAAAAAAGGAGATATTTTTGTGAAGTTAAAATTTTTTATAAAATAAATGGTCTTGTTATCTTAAACCTAAATGACGCCACATCACACCACATCCAAGCTAAGCGAAGCCGAAGCGGGTCACTACCTAATTAATAGATTATAATCATACTTGTTAAATCTGAGTCGTGTTTTACGTGGTAGAGCCACGCTGCAGTTATATTAGTAGTATAGTTGTAGCACGAATGGGTCGGCTCGACCGGGGAAGGACCACGCTCTCACAGAATACCAGCGTAAAATAGTAGCTTAGTGCTGCTGTGTTTCGTATGGTGAGTGTAGAGAACCGGAGACCCTTTTTACTGGAAACGAGGCATTCCATCTTAGTCCTCACGGGACAACGCATCTGCATTTTGATTCGTTATCGAGGATAGATGCAGATGTCTATGGGCCACAGCAACAGAAAATCCTAGTGACTTACTATCAAACAATTTTTAACAACAACAAACAAAATTACTATCAGGTGGACTGTGTGCTCGTTTGTCACCCTATCGTATGAAAAAGAACTTATTCCGTAACATTTCAAATACATTTTTTTTTCTTCTAAACTAAGCGTTAGCCACCAAAAATAATAATAACAGGTACATAGGTCATAAAACACTGTTGATACTATAATTCCTCAAGACCGCTTTAAATACTTCTCAAAACGTAAACAGTATGTAACAGTGGCCAGCATTCTTTATCCTAATTTAAATATGAGTTTAGGACGTTTTCCCTACACACCGAAGAGTAATGTCGTATTTAAGAACATTATTTAAATAAAGAGGGTATTTTTTGCACTCAGCTGCTTAATGATAACAAAGAATTAAATAAAATGGTCGAGATGTATACTAGTATAGATTATTTGAAATTTGTAATTTTTTTAGTTATCTATGACTATCAAAAGATGTCAGTTTCGTTAATTGTGTAGAAGATGAATGACATAGGCCTCTATATAATTCATCTTCTACACAATTACATTTTTTGTATAGGGCGCTGAAATTACAAAGCAGAGTCAAATAAATACAGAGAACCACACAAACTCTGTTTCGCATCTAAGAAATCTGACTGAGATTTGAACCCAGAACTCGTGATGTAGCCGGCAATGCTGCTTGGATTGGACAAACATTGTATTAACATGCAAAATTACGACATAATTAATGCAGTCATACACATATATCGTCTACGCTTCATGCCCTTTCATTACGACGCGACGCCGTGCTCTGTAATGCAATATTTTATAGGTTATTATTACATTACGGTGTGAAAGGCGACGAGACGAAAGCACGTTAAAAGCTCGTCCGACGTGCCCTAGTTACACTAGCGCAAGCGTGCCCCCGTCTCATCTGAAATTACGACATCGGATTGTGACCGCAATCGTCTGTCATGCATTACCATCAAAATTAAGCAGACATGTGTTTTTGTTATTTTTTATTTGTGTTACATGTTATGTTGTTTGTTACAAAATTGTTTTATTTTCTATTTATAGTTAGAAAATCTCGTTGTTTAAACTGCTATTTCATATTCCATTAATGCGATAGAATAAAGCATATATGTAACATAAAGTAGCAGCCTATACTGTATGTTTTTACCAACGGATAAAAAGAGTGTGTAATAGGTTAACGGAATAAAAGCCTATGGTACTATTATTTTACAATTTTCATTTTATTTTACATTAACTTATGAAATTAATCTATCAATAAATACTAATAATTGGGTACGCATTATTTTAATTTCGATAGTTTTTAATTTATTTATTCATTTAATTCAGTTATTACAGTTATTTTTTGCACCGAAATTTTATTTCAAATTAGTTGTATTTGTTGATAGATCAATTTCATAATAATTCATAAAATTGAATGGAATATTAAAAAAAAGTTGTAAAATATCAGTGCCATAGGCTCCTATTCCGTTCGCCTGTTATACCCTATTTTTTTCCAAACGGTAAAAAAATCACGCAGTATAACTAACGCGAGGTAAAGTCCTTCCCTCGCTTTTTACTTGACTCGTAGCAATTAGTTGTAGCCCATATAAGAACTTGTTCCACTCGGGATACAAAAATGTATCCCGCAGCTGCTCAATGACACATTTAGCCGCTACTCTATTATAGAGTCTTAAACTTTTTTCTATAGAATAAGGGTGACAAACGAGCACACAGTTCACCTGATGGTAAGTTGCTGTGGACCTAAAATGAGTTTCCGGTTCTCCAAATTCACCATATGAAGCTGCTACTTTACGCTGGTATTCTGTGACAGCGTGAACCTTCTCCGGTCGAGCTGACCCATTCGTGTTACAACTATACTACTAATATAGCTATGGCTCTACCACGTAAAACTGTGATTAACATTTTCACTGTTATTGGTGGAAATCGAAATTGGGTTGCTCGGCAAGCACTTATTGTATGTTATCGCATTTTAGTCGCATTATATATTTTCTCTTTTAGAATAATTCTATGATGAAATACCTTGTAAACAACTTGTCTTTTTTCTGCTGAAATGATCTACATACTCTGCACATTGCTTTATAATAACTACGAAGAATTAGAAACGTCTTTTCTAAATCTGTTTCCGTTTACCTACACGAAATTTTGTTTGTTTAAAATATATGGACTGATAAATTGATTGCATAGTACATTTACAAATCCTAGATTATTAATCAATCAATCTGTTTCTAAACAGACCTTCAAATAATTCATAAAGCGATATAGGTATACGCATAACAACTCATTAAATTGATTTTTAATTTTTTGAAGTTGTGTATGAGATGCAAAATGGTGATATATCTGTTGATAACGTCTTTTATAAAAATATTTTTTTGTAATGATGGTCATCAATATCATATTAATTCGATGTTCCCACAGTTGCGTCGTGTGTTGATTGAATCTTCTGTATTTGTGTTGAGCAACAGTCCGAGTTAGGTTATATTTTATTACTTATAAGGAAAAACCAACACAGTGTGGTCATACAAAGAAATTCGGAGTAAAATGAGTAAAATGTAATTGAGGTGTGGACGTGATTTTATTTGAATTACCACTTTCCCATGTGTCGAATATTTGCAAGTTCGTTGTGAACTTAGAAACTATACACTAAATCTTTAATTAAAAAAATTAAAAGTTTAGAAACTATTTTCCGTGGTAGAGCCATGCTACAGCTAAATTATAGTTGCGGCACGAATGAATCAGTTCAACATTATTAACCGTATTCTGTGAGAGCGCGATAGGTCCCCCTATCGCGCTCTCACAGAATACCAGCGCAAAATAGAAACTTAATGCTCCTATGTTTCGTATGGTGAGTGTAGAGAACGTGAGTTATTTTTTACAGAAAATGAGACATTCCATCTTATTCCTCATGGGTGACAACCCATCCGCATTTTGATTCTTAATCGAGTACAGATGTAGATGTCAATGGCCCACAGCAACCACTTACTATCAGGTGGACTGTGTGCTCGTTTTAAAACCCTATCCTATAAAAAGAACTTATTCCGTAACATTTCAAATACGTGTTACCTACGCATTTGTATTTTAATTCTTAATCGAGGATAGATGTACAAGTCTATGGGCCACAGCATCTTCTTACCATCAGGTGGACTGTGTACCTACTCGTTTGTCACCCTTCTTCTACTAAATAGAAACTATTTTATAATTAATCTATAAAACAATCTACTAATGCAGACTAATTGACAACCGTTTGTTCTTGATTCTAATATTTTTCTCACCTTAACCCTAATTACCGCCGTCGATCTGGGCTCGACCAGCACGAAATGGTAATCGGAAATCACAACCACCAATCGAAATCTATTAGTTCTTTCGAGTGCATCTCTTAGTCGACTCTAATCACACCAAGGAATTAAGATGAGCTGGAGTATTAGTACTCTCGTACACTGTAACTCTTACTTTTTTCCATCGACTTTCAAAAGGAGGAGGCACTCAACACGACTGTATGTTTTTTATGTGTGTTACCTTAGAACTTTTTTCTGGGTAAACCGATTTTGTTGATTCTTGTTTTGTCTGAAAGCTGGTGTTTCTCGTGGTCCCATATAAATTTGATCAAGATCTGACCAGTAGTTTTTGAGTTATCCTTAATAATGCGAATTAAATTAACTTCGAATACATTGATGATATTCTCATTTTAATTATAGGAAGACGGGTATTTTTTTTTTAATTTTATACTTGTATAATTATATATAGTTGATGAACTATTTTCTTACTACGTACTCCGTAACTGAATTGCGCACTGTTGCTCGTAAATATATCGTGATAACTTTTCTCCAATATGCTTTAACTTTTATTTTAAAATTTATGATTCTCTTACTAAGCTTACTTTTTCAAATTGATAAAAGAATAAATAAATATCGTAAAACCTAGTAGATAACAACAATGCTCGTCGGAAGTACAATACAATACCCAATTACACTAAATTACACTAAATTACATAAAAAATAATTACACTAAAGTTTTTATTGAGCCTAAATTACAAAAATTCAGGTTATAATTATGATAATGCATTAGTTAAGTCCACTAAGTCAGGTACTCATATCACCGAACCACTCGCTCACAAGCTCACAACCCTATATTTCCTCCTGTTTTCTCTTACTCCGCCCTCACGTCACTCCTCACTTTTGGTATCTTTGCTCCAGCCACACCAGAAACCAGGGCTTTTTGTACAAAATTTCTGTATCTATTTAATATTTTTATAATATACATTTTATAGACGCGTTTATGTATTGTTTTGTTTTATATTTATTTACTTTATTTATATTTATATTTTTTATAAACTGTATAGGTACTTCATTTTATCTATGCATTACCCAAAGATTGACTGGTACAGAACGCCTAAGGTTTTGAATTGATCTGTACATTATTTAAATTGTATGAAGTTAATTATTAGAAAGTTAGAAAGCATAGTAAAAACTCTTCAAAGCAATTTTAAGTCCTGGTAAATTAATGATAATACCAATCTCTGCTTTTGCAGATGTTCATGGGCGGCAATGATCATTAAAGAGTATAGTAACTGTCCCATCACCTATCATCAGGATAGATGTATGCTTATTTGCGTCTCCTCTTATAAGTATAAAAAAAATTATAAGTAGGTTTCATATGATATAATAACAGTACTTTGATAGATTTTTTTATTTCCCACATTCTTATGGACCTTATTTATTATTATTATTATTTTACTTTATTGTTACAAGGTAGATCGTTGGAATAAAATGCACAGAACAAAATATAAAGTTCTGAATACATTATTTCCTTTAATTATTCACTTACGTTTGAAGGATGAACGACATTGTCTAGAACAATGTCAATGTTGGCAATAACATACACGTAAATATCAATTAAATACCTAAGTGAAATAATTAGTAGTTTGTTGCCGGATACACACGATAGGTAACTAATATGCAAAATAATTTTTATTAAATTCTTCAGAATGTGTCCTTATTTTGAGTATAAAACAAAACAAAAAACTGTATTAAATATTTATTTTTATTTTCTTAAATGATCAGGTTTAATAACTTTAAAAAAAATCGTAGTCAATTCGATTCGAAGCATACCTACAAAAATATGTAAATTCGATATCAACGTTCCGAACGACCGCCGCGCCAGCACGATAACGGCATGTAAACAGAATATCTGACGAAATCAACGCGCCGACATAGTGTTCCGCATGTGAAAATTTACTAACTAGCTACATTGTTTTTACAATGTAATTAAATACATGATGGTTGTAAACATCGCGTTACCGTTGGTTACGTCGCTGTTCCCGTGGCACCCAGCCGTAAACATAGCGCAATCGATAGAGGCGGCGGCGGCCACAGCTCGCAGACTCCCCGTGCTGCTTCAGTGGTGTTGCGTAAGTTACGTGCTCAACAGCTTTCGAGCACAAGCAAAGCGTGAAGTAGTGCGCGTCCAGCATAGGGAACAATGAGTGCGCCTTGACCTTGCGGCGCGGGGGCCGGGGGGCGATGACGCCAGCGCGTCCGGCACGCGGCCCGGCTTTCGGGTGAGATCCTTCGTGGACGGCATCCGCGTAATCGGTGGTCAGCGCGATTCCGAAGTTCGCGTCAAAAATACCGGGACGGGTGGGCGCCGCGACGCCGGGGATTCGCACAGAGTGCTCATTCCGCAAGCCGGCGCCGACGCCGACGCGCTTCGAACGATCGACCGACTGAGCCACCTCCCGCCGACCGAGCACCGCGACATGCTCGCACATCGACATGGGTAATGTGCAGTGCTGCGCCGACGACCGCTTTACCGAGGGCAAACCGCCTAAACAAACAAATAATAAAAAGATACAACCGAAGGAAACGAGTGAAAAGACTAACGGGTTGGGTGGTGATAAAGGAAACGTACATAAAGTGGTAGTCGTGGCGGAGGAAGCTTCGAAGCGAGCTGCGCCGACCACCGAGCTGGCGCAGTCTCCACCAACGGAAGTGCCTGCTAACGGACCAACAACAACGGAAGCAGTGCAGCAACAAAACATGAGCACCACAGGAACCGATGCACCACGAGTAGAGAGTATGGCCGTCGCGAGGGAACGATTCTTTGGTCAGGTACAAAATAACAGGTTTATTTTAATCTCGAAACAATCCAAAACAGGAACAAAAATGCAATCGCTTTGCGGAACGACCTAATCCTCTTATCGTTGTGTAACGAATTGGTTAGCCTCACTGAGGCCACACTGTTTTACGTCAAATTGCTTTGATGCTCTCGATACAGACTCTTGAACGATACCGTACCTACCTATGTTTACTTAAGGATTTTATCGAAAGTCAATAAACAGATGCTTGTTTACAATACGCACGCAGATACTTGAAGCAGCAGCGTAATAGTAAATTATGCGCATTTATTTTCCATTAAAGTCTAGCTATTTTACCTACACTAGTTGAATTCAGTTTGTATTAAGTAAAACATATTCATAAACTACCAAAACTTATTAATAATTCGTGTTAAAATATTCGTATTATTAACGTATATTCAATAATAACTAAAAACGGCTTATCATTCGTGATGATATGTCGCGATTACATTAACTACATAATATATTTAAAGCTATAGGACAAGTTTTCTGTGATGATCTAATGTGCATTGATTTATTTGATTTACCGTTTTCATTTGCCGTGATCACAATGGTCGTTTTGTTTTTCGAAATAGATACGAGCATTTTAATCCGCTACCCATTAAACATTTTATTTAATCATACATTCCTCTTATAGACTGCATTCTGATAAAATCCAAAATTTTATAATCGAATTCTCATAATTTATAATATCAAATAATTAACTATTTACAAAATTGTCTTGTTGTTTGTCTTTTAAAAGTTTAATAAATTTTCACAATGAAGTGGTGATGGATGTTTAAAGTATACAAATATTTGTGAAGATGAAGAAGTTTTCAATGCAAACAGCAAATTATCGATTGGATATATACAGTGGTAGAACAAAAGCGTGCCTTATCTATATAATTAGCGTGTGTTTGCTAGTCAAACAATGAAAAATTTATTTTATTATGGAATGCAAGCTTGCGTTTAACATGCATGTAAGATTGCCGCTATGATATTTATAAATTATATTATACAGCGGGAAATAATGAAAGTGTTCATTGTTTTCCATAAATATGTAAATTTTTATGTTTTCTATATTAAAAATGTAAATTACTCAAAAGACTGACGAACAGCGCACAATGTAATGAAATAAGAACAGAAAATAGAAAATAATATAATTCATTAACAATAACATTTATTTAATGTTACGCACAATTTTCAGTTTTTAGATTAAATAAATTATATTCTAACAATAACATGTTTGATATCCAACATAGTAAAAGGGAGCCTCGACTGTAATTTTTTCACGTACAATGTTTGTCGAGATCAAATGCACCGATTCCAGTAGGGTCTATTTTTTTACCCTGACCAGTTTTCGGCTAATAAGCCATTTGGTAAAAACTAAAAAACATTACGGCCTTCATCAAACGTGACAACGCACCTGGAGCCTTCCTTGTTTGAAGCTTTTCGCAGGTGATAAAAAATTAAAAACCATCACTAGCCGCCTTGTTGTTGTTGTTGTTTCCTGTCTGACAGGACCAATATATTTTGACCACCAATAAATGTGAGCCACCTCTTCTACTCGCTACAGATACATGTAAATTAATATATTCAGCTTATCGTTTAATTGAACACATTTCCCGCGAATCTAACGGGTGTAGTGGAAATTGTTATAAATAGGAAGTTCCCTGAATCGCCATCATTTCAAACTTTATAAACTCATCTTCACGGGTAGTTCTTACTCACACGTGTCATTGACTCAGCGAGGACGAGTGACCGCCTTCCGATTTCGTCCGCTTCACACACTCAACACACGTTTCGCGCAGCTTTTGGAGCAGGTCCAGCCGATTTCCCGAAATAACTCCAACTGTTCCGAGTTAGCATGAAAATATTATCGGTGGCCGCAAGATTTTGTTCTGCTAAGTGCAACACCTTTGTAAAAATTAAAATTTATACCTCTGCAGCCTCTTTGCGTAGATTACATAACTTTATTCCCATCACTTCTTTTCCCTGTTCTTGACTATAAAGACGTCAACCATCTAGATCTCACCGAAACTCAGCTTAATAAACTCAAATAGTAGTGAACTTAACTAAGTTACCCAAGTTTTTAGTTATTTTTATTAATCATAAGAACAATTTTATCTTGTAAGTACTCATTGATGGTATAATAAGCTTTAATAAGATGTAATTATTTTAATTAGAAAATAAAATTTTTTAATCGACTTCAAAAAGGGAGAGGTACTCAATTCGACTATATGCTTTTTTATGTGTTATCTCAGAACATTCTTCTAGGTGAACGGATTTTGATTATTTTATTGGAAAGCTGGTGCTACCCGTGTGGTCCCATATAAATTTGAATAAGATCTGGCCTTTAGTTTTTGAGTTATCCTTAATAATGCGTATTTAATTAACTTCGCATATTTATTAATGTTGTTCTTATTTTATTTATATTGAAGTCGTTTGTACAAGATTTTTAATCTTAACACTTGTAGATATACATACGTCTCCTTCTATCCCATATTACTACGCCTGAAAAGGTACAGGTATTTTTGTGCTGCGTTATATTTATACAGTTGCAATATCATAATATGTACGCAATTATTTAATAAATAAATAAGAACAACTTTCACAAGATTTTACTAATATACGCTCTACTAGATGAAATCCGTGTCAGTAGAATCAAACAGAATAATTTTTCATTTTTGTGATTTGGATTAACACTTGCACTTATTTGTTTCACTAATACTTATTTTAATTTATAAACTATACACACTTACCGGTTTTGCCTCACGGCATCATCAGGGTACCCTGATGATGGTGAAATTTCACCAAGTGACAACAATATAAGTTTATAAGAATACTTATTGAAAGTCATTTATGATTTTACCACTGGTTTGTAAAAAACTTTTACCTGAGAAGAACCAGCAGGAAATGTAGATAGTGGGACCTTTTATAAAAAAAAAGTATTTTAAAATGACGTAAATAAGTTGTAACTTTACGTTACTTTTATATGCTTTCTGGTTAAATATGAAAACGGCATCGTAGTTGGTTCTTGGTACCATCCTCACACTCATTCCAGCTGCCAAGGCCAAGAAGCGAGGTCCCCGCAACTGTTTCAGTTTTTTAAGGGAAAGAGCTAGCTATTTTAATTACTTTTAATTACAGACTGGGGGTTTCATATCATGAAGAAAAACACATGCGTGAGCTTTTTTTACAGAATAAGGGGGACAAACGAGCACACAGTCCACCTGATGCTAAGTGGATGCTGTGGCCCATAGACATCTACATTTATCCTCGATTAAGAATCAAAACGCATATACGTTGTCACCCCTGAGGACTAAAATGGAGTGCCTCGTTTCCAGTAAAAAAGGGTCTCCGGATCTCTACAGTCACCATACGAAACAGCAGTATTAAGCTGCTATTTTACGCTGGTATTCAAAATTATAATATAATAATTTACGCTGCTTCTTTGTTTGAAGTTAGCTGCCAGCGTCCAGCACTTATTATCAATCAGGCGAACTGTTTACTCTCTTCTATAAAAATAAATACATATCATGAATAAATATTATAATATTAATAAGTTTTACTTCGACTGCGTATAAAAGTTACAAGCACTTATTTCTAAAATCACCTTTACGCGTTGAAAGCCTATTGACTTTTTAAGGATTTAACTAAGGATTTTCCAACCGATTGACGGTTGCTAGTCCATCTATGAACGCTGCAACTAAATTTCACAAATTGCTGATAGGGAACAGAATTCCAGTAGGTACATAGGTGTTGGCTCTGTACTCACCGGTCTACGTAGCTTCATCATCCCGCAGAAACCCACAGCTAAATATCTAGTCCAGTTCGCTTCAGTCCGTTGTGGAGACGATTTGCCTTAATCATCACAATCTCAGTATCAAACATCTCACTTCTTTAACGCTGCTCTCCGTCACCGGCAAAGTATTTTACGTCTGGCGTAAACGAGATGGTATAGCGCCATATATCTGAAGGCATAAGATATTTCTAGCATTTCTATAGTTGCCACCACACCCGCATGACGAGGGTTATTCTTGGAAAAGCCCGTATCCAGATATCGACTTGACAAGGATTACAATAGTTTCTACTAAAACCGTTAATTTAGTTGAATTCGGTAAAAGCTTGTGCTTAATGCACACACATAGCTTAGTCTAAAAACAATAAAATGTATTATAGCGGGTACCTACTTATGCGCTTCATGTTTATTTTTATTTGGTTTTATTTCCCGAGATATCTTAAAGAGTTTATTTTCGTCGGTTAGAGCTATTCATTAAGACCGCGCCCTCAGAAATCGTTGAATTAAAGTTTCACAACAGTCTATTAATGTAAACAAAGAGATAGCACTATTTATACTCTGTACTTCAATGTCACGACTCACTGCCAAAGCTTGCTCTTTCTACTTACTACGCTTTGGCATAGATAAAGGCAAATATTTCTCGTAAACATAGTACGAAAATAACAACTTATCATTTTTGCATTTATGACTGTCAGCTGCGTTTAATCTAGGTTCTAGGTAGTAGGGATTTTTTAAGACGTAGTATTTATTAATTTCTAGTGGCCACATCGTTCAAGTATTGATTTATCTTACGAACACGGTCGTTCAAATGGTTCATTTCGAGGATGAATCATACTCTGTGATCTGTGTGACACGCTCGATAATGTCGGTCACCGGACATTACTATACTCTTTGGTCGTAGGTGCTGCTAATCCTTTGATCTGGAACGATCAAAAAATGTTATTGCAATCATCAATACTTTGGTACGACCCGAGTCAAATGAACGAATCATTCATGATTGATACATGTCTATCTTGTGGAAATTTGAAAATGTCAGATGATCTTATACTTGTTTGCCTTTGGTCTAGTGCAGGGATTTCAAAGCGGGGGTCGCACCTCCGATGGGCCGGCCACAGAAATTAATTTATTACGATTTCTGTGGACCGCGCAGAGGACGCCATAAGGGGCGGGGCGCATGACATCTGTTTGGAAGG